ACTGAGGAGGAATTTAGAGAAATGAGGAATATACCCTACTCTAATGCTATAGGTTCTGTTATGTTCTCTATGATAACAACCAGGCCTGACTTAGCCTATGCTATAAGTTTTTTGAGCAGATTTATGTCAAACCCAGGAAAGCCTCATTGGGCAGGTTTGAAATGGTTGTTAAGGTACATTGTTGGTACATTAAATCTGGGTCTAGTGTATGAAAAGAGATCTGAAAAACTTGCTCTAAAGGGGTATGTAGACTCTGATTTTGCTGGTGACAATGATAGCAGAAAGTCTACCACAGCGTACTTTTTTACACTAGGTGACAATTGTATAACATGGAAGTCACAGCTGCAGCCTTTAGTTACTTTGTCAAGTACTGAGGCAGAGTATGTTGCCATAACTGAGGCGGTTAAAGAATGTACTTGGTTAAAAGAAATTTTAAAAGAATTGAACTTCATGCATGATACACCTGTTATGTTTACTGATAGTCAAAGTGCTTTATTGCTTTGTAAAAATCCTATTTACCATGAAAGAACTAAACATATTGAGGTAAAGTATCATTTTATTCGTGAGAAACTGTCTCAAGGTGAAGTTAATCTTGTTAAAATTCACACTGATGGGAATCCCTCTGATATGGGAACAAAAATTCTACCTGCAGGTAAATTTAAATTGTGCTTATCTTTATTATACATTGACACTGGTTAATTTTTCTTGCAGGTAGTGGGCGATGATGATGAACAGTTCTTTCATGTACAAATTCGCAACCAAGAGAGAGTGTTAGGAGAACCAAGGTAAAGAATGTGAGAATATGGTTCACCTAACACCATCTATTCAATTTTTTGTGGACCATTGGATGAAGATCGACGATCGAGATTTAATCTTGGGAGAGATGTTGTGACTTGATGGTATTGATGTTGACACAATAAGGTCTTCCCACGTTTTTTGGCAGAGGCATGGTCTTTACTTCCTTCCCCTTCTTATGTAAACTCTCTCTGCCATTTCAAAGGGGAGCTCTCGGTCAGGATCGATTTTCCAGCAAAGGGTGGTGGTTCTTCATTGGTTTTCCCCTCTCTCTTGGAAGGTAATTTGCAAGTCATGGAAGGCTGTTCCTGAACCTGAAAAACAGCCATTAGAAGGGAAGAAAGCAGCTGCAAGGAAGGAGAAAAATCTGTCCAAATTCCGGCCGAACACAGGTTGTATTTTTTCCATCCCTTTTTTCATTGTTTTGCCTTAGAATTTCTTCTATTGTTTGATGTTTTGGTTGATTGAACTCCTAGGATCCCCAACACATAATTTACACTGAAAAAATCGTAATCACATTGAGTACCTTGTATTAAACATACAGTAAAGAAGATAACATGCAGTATTCTTAGTTTTAAGTGATTTTGCGAAAATCCTATATTATTCTTGCTCATCAATATCCTCGTATAGCATAATTGAATTTCCAAGAGAACCTCAGATTGATCACAAGGTGTCATCTCCCTATCAAAGTCAAACCAATAGCTGTTACAATAATAGTAGAGGGAACTCCAAATTTGAGGTGAGTCCAGAATTTTAGATCGTAGCCATCGTGAGCCTGACGGGCCTGTTCACACACTATTAAGTTGGCAGCCGATCCCAAGAGAGAGAGATTTCCTGCAACTGTGCTCACCCAAGCTAAGACGAGCCATGCTTTCTTCTCACTGGTAGGCGATATTGCTGCTGCAGAAGATGCCACTCGTGCTCCAAGCAGTAGAACTGAAAGTAAAAGCAACTCAGTTATATTCACTCGATTATACAAGTAGTGTCAATTAGGCCAAACTAGGTTAGAGAGGCCAGTACGAACCAAGCTCGGACCACTGCCATCCCAACGAGCCGGGCCTTGTGAGTGTTTTAAATTTATTTATTTGACCTGTGGAGATCCTGCTGGCCACAACACAAAGCCTAGCGTCACTTTGACATTACTATATACAGGGTACATATATTGTTTCAGCGAGTTTCCTAGTATCATATTTCATTAAGATTGAAGAAATGAATGCCGTGAAATGAATTATTTTAGTATTTCAATGTGGCTTTTGTGACATACAAAAAGATTCAATTGAAGCAGTATGTGATTATAAGAAATATTTTGGGATCAACTTCGATTTGAATTCTCGTGCAAATATATCACGCTCCTTTCTACTATGAATTCCTTGTGGACTCACTTCATCTACATCATGGGGAGCAAAGGTTGATAGATAGCCATATGCTTTGAAGTGTTAACCTTTCCTATTTCCTTCTTTGTGATGTATGTCCAATCTAATCAATTGTTCTTAGCCTATGGAAGGGGTGAATGGCATTGCCTGCCTTGCATGGTTTGTAATCCTAGGGAAGGCTGCACCATCATTAAAACTGGGGAGAGGAAGCTTTTAAATACAGCTTCCAAATACGAAATTTTGTTATGTTAATTTACCTCGACCCTGAGTAGCAACAGGATAACATATTTTCCTACTTAGCAATACTCTTGGTCCAGTGTCACTTCCATCATCCAAACATGTAATCTATCCTAGAAGATTTTCAAGTTCGAGTGTTGGACATATAATTCAATCCGCTGTCTCCTTTTGTTCTCCTTATTGACCGACAAATTATTATCTCATGTTCAAAATCAGGTACATTTGACATACCTGTAGGTACATTTGATACCAAATTTGAGAGCACGATTATGACAGCAGCTAAAACTGTCATTCCCCCGATATGATCTATCTTTGCATAAGGCTCCATGAAATCCCACAGTTTTCTCGGAATTCCGGCTTCGTCGAAGCCATGTACTGTAATAAACATTCCGCAAAAGAATATCAAGAGCGAATAGGATACCTGGATGATTTAGAGGGGAAAAAAGGCATCAATAACCTAGTCTGAATATGAGGCCTAATCTCATTAATAAACTGCCAAAGCAAGTTTGACATGAAGTTAAGATTGTACTGAACAATTATTATTTATTTTTATTTTTATAATAGACAATATTTTATCCCCCCCC